GAAGGTGGTGACTGACTGCCCCGTTCCTGTGTATGCGGACACACGGATTGACCCCAAAGCACTGGTGCATGTGGAGGAGGGGCTTGGGTGAGACGAAGCACCAGCACACCAAACCTGTGACAATGGCTGGGGAAGACATTCTGAAAGCTTGGGCTTCTGCTTCATTTAGTTTTAAACACCAGTGCCCATCCCATCAAGCGTTATCTCATTCAAGCCTCTGAACAATCCCTGAGGTAGGAATTATACATCCCAATTTTATAGATAAAGAAAATAGGGTTCACAGAAGTTAAGAACACACAGCTTGGAAAAGGCTAGAAAGAGCTGGAACTGGAAAGCTGGCCTGATGCCAAATTCCACACTAGGGGCACCCGAGGACCCTGCTGCAGGAAGGGGAGAAAAGCAAGAGCTGCCTTCAGGCGCTGGCTTTGCGTCAGCTATCACAACTGCTGTTGCTGTTATTGTTATTACTGCGATTTTACTCACCTTCAGGGCACCCTTCACACCTTGCAGCTTGCTTGGCACTTTCCTTCCATTACCTCTTGTATTCTCTGGGACTGTGGGGCAGACGGGACAGGGCAGGGCCTGATGTCCCCACACAGCACGTAAGAAACCAAAGCAAAAGAATCACAGCCAGGAAGCAGCAGAACTGAGACTGGACGCTGGGTCTGTTATATTTCATCCACTTTGCATATTTATTTGCACGACTCCCTGATGTCAGGGGCTAGATCTGATCCATCATTCCCTTCATGCCCTTGGCCCATGCTAGATTCTCTGTAAATGTTTGTTGAACTGAGCTGAGTTGGCTTGAGTGAAATCAATGAAAGTCTTGTGCTGAGTGAGACAATGCGAAGAGATGATCCCAGATGGAGCCGGTCCGGGGTAGAGCCTTAACTGCCTACCCTGAAGTCAGGCTGGTCTGGTCTGGAGGGCGCTTTGGCCCTCTGCTCAGGCTGGAGGTGGCTCACTCTCTCTAAGAGCCACATCTGGTGTTTATTCCCCCCTCTTAAGAGCTCAGCTCAGGCTGGTCTCGGGAGCCCATTACTGGTCACCTCCCTGTCCCATTCCACATAGGGATACTTCAGCCAGCACGAGATCCCTCCCCTTCCACACCCCCACCCAGGGTTCTGCAAGCTACAGGGTGCTGGGGCTGAGGTCTACTGCTCTGCTCACCTCTGGCACCCATAGCCCCACACTTCATCTCCTCCCGCTATCTCCCTGTTTACTCATCTGCTCCTCCTGATTGGGAGAAAGAGGAGCCCTTCCTTCCCAAAGCCAACCCTGCTTTCTGGGCCTTGGATCACGCCCTCTCCTCCCTCCACAGAGGCCCTGCTCCACAGCTTGGCTTCACAGGGCTCTGGGGCCCCTCCCCAGACCGATTCAACCACCAGAGCTAAGGCATGGCCCCCAGATTTGTTAAAAGCTCTCCAAGCAATTCTAATGTGCAGTCAGGGTCTCTACAACAATCTGCCTTTCAACAAAAGAGAGAAATAACAGTATGATACAATACAATAAAATACAACTGAATAACATAGGCCAGAATATAATAGAAAATATCAGAGTGCTTTGCACATTATAAGGGTAACTATTATTTCGTAAAAGTTTCAATTCAGTCGTATGTGGGTGTGTATGAGTGTGAGCTGGCATATCATCCTGGGTCATGATGTAAATATATCTCTGGCTGTATCTGGTGGTTTAAATTTTTTTTATATGTAGAAAACATTGCCCCAGTTTCTGCCTTAGCTCCTGATACTCCTTATAGTCAAAATCCCTGACAGAAAAATCTACCTCCCTGCCTGCTTTACGTCTTCATCTGGCTCAGACTGCATCTCCACCACTTTACTAAAGCTTCTCACTGAGGTTTCCATGATCCTTCCAAATCCAGCAGCTTCTTCCCAGGTTCATGTCCTTCCACTGTCTGTGGATTCACTCACATAGATGACTCACATTCCTCAAGTTCTCTCTGCCCGCAGTCTGTCATCACCCAGATCCTCCTGGCCATTCCTTCTCTGCCTCTCCCCAGCTCACCCTCTTCCTCCTGACTCCTAAATGTCTTACACTCAGTATTCTGTCAAGCTTGTAATGTTTGTCCTCCCCTCTGCTTTTTGTACTTTCTCCTCCCAGTCAGTGGTCTCGATTACCCTGTGCACAAGGTTCCAACGCACAGAGCCATGATTTCCTCTCCTGAGCTCCAGTTGAGTGACTGGCCAGCCATGTGGCAGTCTCCAGAAATGGAGACAGGGGCTGGGGAGGGGAACACTTACAGTGCTCAACTCAGTCACACACCTGACCACGCTGGGCAGGTGAGACAAGCAAGGGAGGATTGGCATGCTGTGTGAGAGAGTGAGGAGCTAAGCCTTGGAGGCTGAGGATTTGGAGGCTGAGGGATGTTTCTGCGGTCAATCATCCACAGTGGAGAGGGTCCCAGACTCCATGACTTAGACTTCAGCCCAGATTCCTTTCCCTTCACACCACGCACTGGAACTCCACATGTGCAAACGTGAAGCTACATCTCATTCGTTAAACCAGAGGCTGTCAGCCAGAGCTGTGCAGCAGGCTCATTAAAAAGAGATGCTTTAGAAGACAGAGATGGCCAGATTCCACCTCCAAATGACTGAACTTGTCATCTGGGACAGACTTTTGTTTGCTTGTCTTAGCTTTATATTTTGAAGTAATATAAAGGGAATATGAAGGGAAAAAGTACACAGAAACATACAAGGAGGTCCTATGCTCCCTTCACCCAGCCTCCCCCAGTGTTAACACCTAACACAACTATAGCACAATACCAAAATGAGGACACTGATGTTGCTATAATCCACAGCTAGCTCAGATCATGAGAGTAAGACATGCACTCATCAGGGTGTGTGCATATAGTTCTGCGCAATTTGTCACTTGTAGCTTTGTCTAACTACCACCATAGTCAAGATACTTAGCTGCACCATCATCACAATACTATCTAGAGCTTTGGGTTTGAAAGCTGCCCATCCCTGAAGAACCACTGCCTCCCTCTCCTGGGAATTCACCATCATTCCCTGAGTCACCCCGGCTTGAGAAGGAGTTCTCATTCACCAGCCCTCCTTTGGCCCACCTGCCCATGGCCTATAGATGCTTCCTTCATCATATCTCTCAGGCCCATGTCTTGCCCTCCATCCACCACTCACACCAGGCCCTTTGATTCTTGACTGTTTTGCTTCAATTGCCTTCTTATTGAGCCCCTTGTTCAAGATGCCCTTTTCAACCAAGTCATAAACCACAGCCAAATCTCCCCACTTCCCAGTTCTGCATCATTCCTCTCCCCAAAAACTTTCAGTGTCCATTGCCACTTAGCAAATAAAGCCCAAACTCTTTAAATTCAAATATTAAATATGAAATCCTCTATATCTGGCTCACTTTCCTTATCTAAATTGCCTAAACTCAGTATCAGCTTTACTCCTTTTTTCCACACGGGTTAAAGAAAAAGTGGCATCCTTAAGGTCACGATCAGGCTCTCACTATGGGGAAGAAATGAAAGGCTCCATGATTTCCTTCTCCCTAGTGCTTCATTCTTGTCTCTTTTTTGCGATGTGAGGAAGTGCAGAGGAATGGGGCCTGGGATGCCAATTGCCTGGGGGAAGGCCTCTCACCCTTGGAAGGCTGGCTCTTCCGGTCCTTGCCTCTTTACAGTGTAAGAGGGCAGGGGCCAGAGGCCTGGGTGGAGCAAGGCAGGTGCATGGACGGGCTGGCCAGGATGGTCTGCTGTTAGCCATGGGGCAGAGGCCTTCTTAGGCATCATTCCTTGGACCCAAGCAGGGTGATGGCAGGTAGCTGCTTAAGCGCAGGCCCTGGGCCCTCTCTACCTCCCTCGCCAGAGATAATCCTCTCCAGGATTATGCTGTCCATCTGTGCTGTCCTCTGGTGTGTTTCCCATCCTTCACATCCATCGGACAATGAGGGTCAGGGGATTCATAAGCACAGCCCTTCAGAAAGCTCTATGGCCCCCTTTGCAGCACTGCCCCCACACTTTCCACTACATGATAATAAAATGAAAAAGAAATTTGCTTATTGAGATTATGTATTTTTCAATTATCTGATGTGTTTCAGTTTTAATTGATGACAAAACACAAATTGCCCATCTGAACTTCTCATTAACAGCAACTAATTCCCTGGGAAATTCACTACCTGACACCAGAGAAAGCGCCAAAGACAACACAAGCCCAGTGACTCTACACTCCCATGGCCTGGCCCTCTATCTGTTCAAATCAGGCACTATCCAAAGCCCATCCATGTGGTCCTATCAAGAGCACTGGTTTTTAAATGTTTCAGTGCGTGGTCTCTAAGTTTGGAGAATATTATGGGCTGGCATATGTGGCAGGAATCAGAGGCTACAGAGTATGCACCAAGGGAAAAAGTAGCTGGTAGTGGCTAGAGAAGGGAAGATAGTGATGTGAGGGCTTCTGTGTGTGTTTGCAGGCCACCTGGGGCTTTGCCAGGGCCGGATGGAGCAAGGAGCAGGAGATTCAGCAAAGAGGCTAGGCTTTGAGCAGTGCTGTTGCTGGGTTACAGCCCCCTTTATCCCCGCCATCAACATCACTACAACTTCCATCCACACCTTGGCCATCATCACTACTACTGCTAAGACAATACCAACAGTTTTCCAGAAGAGGCCAAGGAATACTATCGAATTAAATGGTGCTTCCCAGGAGAAATTCACTGTGTGCCCGGTGGGGGTGGAGGGCAGAGCTATACACCTCATCAAACTGCACTAGGATGTGGCATCTGAGAGTGGTCAGCCAGCAGGGAATGGCTTGGGGACCAGGCTCCTCTGGGATGCGGAGACGGTGCACCAATAGGGTGAATCTTCCGGAGCAGTGACCACCACAAATCTCTCATCAATGAAGCAACATCCCCTGACAGGAGCAGCCATGGAGAGCCTAGGGTATCGAGAACCCACAGCAGAGGCAGAGCCCGCCGCTCAGCTGTCAGGCATGGGGCAGTGTGCTGGGCACAAGGGCATGGACACTCACCAGTACTGCTGTTGTCATCCACCAGGATGATCTCCTTGAGCAGGTGCGGAGGTGTGCGCTGGATGGCTGAGTGGATGGAGCGCAGCAGCACCGAGAGGGCTTCATTGACGAAGATGAACACGATGCTCACCTCCGGCAGGCTGTCAGGGAATGAGAGGTTGCGGCACCTGGAAAGAACAGTCAGACTCTTAGATGTGTCAGTGACTCGGCTGGGGTCACCACAGGTGCTGGACCTCCCCAGGTCCTGGTTCCATCCTTGGCTGGAGGGCTCAGGAATCCAGATCCTTCCCAGGGCTGCTTCTTCAATATGCTTCAGACAAGCCCTAAGTGTGCAGTGGATGGGTTCACAACCATTGAAACCAGCTTGCTTGGCAATGGAGCCTGAATGTGTCAAAGACTATCCCAGCTGAACAGTCCTACCATGAGTGCCTAGTAGGGCTTGAACCCAACAGCTGGTCCCTGAGTGTCTACTGCAGAAAGGACTCAACATTTCTAAACTCAGCAGGATGGAAAATGCAACCAAGGAAAGGCTTAGTTTTTCCAAAATGGCAGTTAACACCTAGAGGAGGCCGACACCTTAAATGATCTGTCTCAGGAGAGAACTGCATCTCCTTCCAGAGACTTCTACTGCCGGGATCCACTCCTCACTCAGAAGGCAAACTGCCTGAGGCCTCTCCTACCTCTCATTCATCACAGATATCCAGCCCCAGAACTAATCTCAACACGAATGAAGGATGGAAAGATAAATCTAGTCTTATCTCACAGATGAGGACACTAAGGCTCAGAGAGCTGAGGCCCCACCATGGGTCAGCTGCCGAGACAAAATCCCAACTGTGGTCTTCTGACATCTACACCAGGGTTCTTCCCACAGGCAGAAATGGTTGTGGGAGAGACTCCCATTTCCCCCTAGCTCTGCTGAAACCCTGAAGCCATTTGGAGATCTCTTACCCAAAGGACACAAGGCAAAATCATATAAGTCCACATGCCATTCCCCATAGGAAGAGCTGCACATAAAAACAGACCCCGTAAATAAGAAGTGCCATGGTTCCCAAGGACAGACTCCCCTGTCAAAGTGTTGGCACCACTCTGATGATTCCTTCCCCTGCAAACATGCATTTGTGGGCAAGAAACCACCCCTGGTTCCCCGCACCGGCCAAAACTGAACGCTGGTCCAGAAGACTCTGAGCTCCCATCTTCAGGATAGTGGAATAAAGGATGAGCAGCAATTATAGGCCTTGGACTCAGAGAGGCCCTGGGCTTAGAGGGGAGGCTGCCCACGCCCACCGCCAGCCACTGGAGTGATGGCCACACTGCACTGCTCCAAAGTGGGAGGTACAGCCAGGTTAGAACACGCCATAATGAGCATTAATAGCACAGAACTTCTGCGCACCAGCAATTAAAGTGCTGCAGGATAGGAAGGGGCCTGCTCTTCCTTAATGAGGAAGGCTACAGGATACCCAGCACTGAGCAATTTGGAGAAATCTCCATGGGGCCCAGGCTTAAGAGCAAGAGATTAATAAATGAAAATCACTGTCTCTATGGTTACCAGAAATTTACAGAAACTTTTCCCATTCTATTTCCAGCTCTCCTTTTCTCTCACCAGAGAGAGGTGGAGGAAGGGAAAGAGCTGAGCCTTTTCCCAAATCCGCTTCATACTTAAAATTTTAATAAAACCATCAGGTTAACGGATTGGTGTAGATGTCATTCATTCTTGTACTTAATGGAATAAATATTTACTGAGCTTCTTCAGTGATCCAGGCAATGTTGTCAGCACTGAGGGTACAGCAGGACATGGACCGAGTACCTGACCTTGTGGCACTTACACTTTGCCAGGGGAAACAGGCACACACGGAAGCCCACAAATGGTACAAGACCGCAGTACAGTGTCAGGTGAAAAGTATCACAGGGTCAAGGGGACAGGGGGCTGCCTTGGGGGCTGTTCTGGAAGGAGGGTTCAGGAGAGGGCTCTGTGAGGAGAGAGATGACCAGTCACTAAAATGGTATGAAAAAGCCAAGGCCCCATGGGGCTGAGGTTCCAAGGCAACTATGCTGTGCCTGGAAAAGAGGCTGTGGAGGGAACCGGCTCATTTAACTGCAGTGAAGGGATGAAGAGGGTGGGGAGGCAGAGGGAGGGACTTTAATGAAGGAGAAGGACAGAATGACCCTTATGTTCATCAGACCCTTCCCAAAAAATTTTTGTTATTGTGCATATGATTTTTATAACAGCATTTAAAAGGTCTGTGGCTAACAAATATTCCTCTGCCTAGTGCTTATTTACAGCTACCAAGACCAGCAGCTAGCCTTTCCTGAAGCATGAAAACTGACAGAAATATTAACACACAACCTACCTGCTAATTGCAGTTTTAAAATAATACTGTATATGGTCAAGCTGCTAGAACATGAACTTTATTTTTTCTTTTATAAAAATATAATGAACGGCTCCCAATAAGGTCAATATAACAGTGCACGTTCACTGCTCTTCCCACTACCTCCACCACTGGGACCCTCACCTGTTAGCCCGTCTCCGGTGATCGCCTCGGAGTGCTCAGCGCCACACTGACCAGAGTTCCAGGCGCTTCGTAGGTGTTTTCCAGAGTTAGGGGTTAATAGCCTTCCTCTCCTCTCCTCTCTTCTTAATTTTGAATATAACCACTCCTCAGCCTTCAAGCAGACCACGTTTAATTCCTCCCAGTAACGGCCATGCCCATCCTAATGGCCTGGGGGCCGTTTCCTGCTGGCCTTTTTCCAAGCAGAATGCAAATGTTGTATTCCTTTTACAGCTAAATTCTGCTGGACCACTATTTTCATACGAAAAACACTTTTGAACATAAGGTTTTCATATGCTAACCCTCTTCAATATAACAAAAGATCGTATTTGTATGTGTTTGTTATCTGTCTCCCTCTACTATAATGAAGCTCTGAGAATGGGGACTTTATTTTACTACTATGCTTTCTCCTAACCTTAAACGAGGGTCTGGCACATAGTAGGTTTTTGGAATGAATTAAACAAAGCTAACAGGTTTATTAATTTTATATAAGGCTGACATTTTCATGCATGCCACAGAGCTCAGAATGTTCCCTCCTCCCTCTTTCGAAGGAAAGGCAGGTCCTCTCCCCAGTGGCGTGTCCTTTTCCATCCTCCCTCCCTGAATTTAGGGCCCCAGTTCCTCACCATCAGTCTCCAGCAGTTCTCAGTTTCTTTGCACCATAATTAAGCGATCCCTCCCAGCCAAACATCCTGACCTCCTTACATCCTTCCTGCCTTGCCTTCTCTCCTGGGAGCTGCTCAAGGCCCTGAAGCACTAGCCACACCCCTGCGATGGCCTCTCTCCACAGGGTGCCCTCCCTCACCCTTCAGGTTTTCCACACCTAACCTAAATGTTGGTCTGAGTGAGCAGAGGGTGGGCAGGAAAAGAAAGACCAGGTGGGGTAATTTTTAGGAAAAGAATGGGGATGAAGCCACCGTGGTGCCAGTCTGAGCTCTGCCCTGACTTGCTGCGTGACCACCCATGCAAACCATTTTACCTCTTTCTAAGTCTTTTCATAAAATGGGGGGGTTGGAGTGGGGGGTGCAGGCAGAGGGCAGGAGAAATGATGGGTTAGATGTCTTTGCTCTAGAAAATTTGGGAACTTCTGTCTCATATGTGGTAAACAGAAGACACTTCATTAAACAAATAGTTTGCAAACTTGCCTCCCAAAATACCACAAGGAACATCCCTTACTGCCATTGGGATTAAACAGGTGATCAAACGTCCTGGTGGTTTGCCCAGGACTCTCCCACTTTCACCACCAAAAATCCCAAGCAAAGAGGCACAGTTGGTCACCCTAGACCGCAGCTTCGTCAAGGTGGGGACAGATGTTGCTTACGGCTTCATGCCCACTGCCCAGCACAGAGCCTGGCAAATAGCAGGCATTAGTCAGCATCCATCAAATAAGCTGAAAGTCTTCCAAAGTCCTCAAAACACACACGCCGACACACTGCATCATGGTTCATATCTCCATCTCAACACTGAAGCACAACCTGCATTGCTGGAGGGAGGAGGCAAAAAGGATATCGGGCAAGATGCACACATTCCAGATGGTCACACTCACTGACATCACTGCTGGACACTGAACTCAGGCCAGAAGCTGCCTGCCACGCAGTCCAAGGCCTTCAAAAGTAGTACACATCCAAGAGCTGCTCTGGAAGACAATTGTTCCAGACTCAAGCCCAGCATGTCTGCTTGAGAGCCTGGCCACACACTTTGCCCATCAGCCAGCATGGGCCTCCTCACCTGAGGGCTTTACACCCCCTGAGCTGGTGTAACCTCCAGGGACTGCCCAGCACCCTCTGCTCACTGAGCCAGCCCTCCCCTCCTGCTCTGGGGGGTCTGCCTCTGACCCTGCCTTCTCTGCTTCACTCTCCAGAGAAGGACCAGAGGCTAGGGTTGGAGCAGCCATACAGGTGTAGCTGGCCCTTCCCTATTTGTGCTTCCTGAGGAAGCCTGCCTGTATGAGACTGGCCCCTTTCTCATTCTGAAAAGAGGCATATTATTCCTGTAAAACTAAGCCATAAAAATTCCCTCTTTTACTTTTATTCTTGTTCAAAGTCAAGCCATTTTCCACTAGAGATAAAAACAAGGTGTTTCTGAGAGCAGAGTACTATGGCTGTCTAATAAGCTGGAATTGATGGCCGTGATACACTCTCCTTTATTGATCTCTGCACGCAGGAGGTGATGCGGGGACGGGGTGGCCACACAGGAGCCCCTCGGCAGACCTCTCTGACACTGCTCTGAGCTGCTTATGGGGCAAGTTTGTACACCATGAGCTTCAGTGCCACGATTCCCTGTGAAAGGCAAGAAGCAATGTCACACTAAGTCAGGTCAACCCAGGCTCCCGGCCACCAAGTACCACCCAGGGCAGCAGCCAGACACTTCCATATTGGATCATGCTATGAGATGTATGGATAGTTTTCCTCGTTTTTTCCCCCATTTTATTCCTTTTAACAATCCTGTAAGATAAACATTTTATCCCCATTTTATAGATGAGGGAAATAGAGCTAATGAGTAACTTATTTTCTAGGGCAGAAAGCTGGGCTCCTTTGTCTCCAAAGCCTGTCTTCATAATCACTGCTAAACCAGGGCCTGCACTTTCTGGCCCAGGCCCACCCAGATGCTGCTGGTGAGAT